GAGGATGCTACCGCTCTGAACCTGCGTGGTGAGGACGGGGAGCGTTCCACGTCAACCAAGTATGTTGCGTGCGTAACGGGTCGCTTACACTGTAGCCTATTCACAATATATATTTGCAAGAACGTTTGCAGAGCTGGCCAGTCTGGCTCCGAGCTCGGGCAGCAAGTGACTTCGTCCTCTTCGTCGGGCGCACATGCACGTAGACAATGTGCATTCCGGCAGCCTACATGTAGCAGTATTTACACAGGGTTGGTCAGTTACCACAACATGATCTCCCGAAGATTGTATTAAACGAGACGAAGTCCCTTCATGCACTATCGTGAGCAATATGTGCTCGAACACGCGAGCGCGTGGAAAATGGCCTGGAACCCTACATCGATCGATTCGCAGCGGCCGCTGTCGGAAACAAAGTGGTAAGGGCGCCACGCTTCCGATAGCTGCTGACACTCCCGTCTCGATATCGTAGGAGCAAAACCGGCAGCTTGTAGTACGTCCGAAGCCGCTACCGGCAATATCAATTCATATTGCCGCATGCATGTTGACATTTTGTGGGACGGTGCACGTGTGTGGCTGATTAAAAAGACGAAGAGTGGTCTCCACTTGGTGTCTGGTCTACCGGTCGCGCCGCTGCTGCTTCATTTGATTGATTAATATATGGGGTTTAACGTCCCAAAACCACCATATCATTATGAGAGACGTCGTATTGGAGGGCTCCAGAAATTCTAACCACCTGGGGTTCTTTAACGTGCGCCCAAATCTGAGCACACGCTCCTACAACATTTCCGCCTCCATAGGAAATGCCGACGCCACAGCCGGGATTCGAGCCCGCGGACTGCGGATCAGCAGCCGAGTATCTTAGCCACTAGACCACCGTGGCGGGGCCACCGCTGCTGCTGCTAGTTTGAAATATATTTCATCCACCGCCTAGTCGATACGGCGTCTCTCTTCCGTACCATATTTGGTGGAGGTAGAATATTCCCCGTCCTCACCACGAAGCTTCGCAGTGGCCGCACCGTCCAGCCTCCGGCCATGGCTTCTAATGATAACCCGCCACCGCCATCAGCTGGAGCGCCAGCTACTACGTACCTTGTGATGTCCCACCCCCCAGATCCGGGTACGTTCTCCGCCCAGCCTGGCCTTGACGTGGACTACTTGTTCCGCATATTGTACGAGCGCGTTAGCCTGTCTCACCGATGGGACCCTACCATGATGCTCGCCAACGTAATCTTTTACTTGGATGACACACCGCGTGTATGGTTCGACGCTCATGTGGCCGAGCTTACCAGCTGGGACATCTTCAAGGAGCGACTACGCGACATCTTTGGGGACCCGTCCGGTCGACAAACGGCCGCACGACAAGAACTTGCCCACCCGAGTACAGTCATCAACCCAGTCGTATGTCTCGTACATAGAGGACGTGCTCGCGTTGTGCCGCAAAGTGGACGAGCAAATGACCGAGAGCGACAAGGTGGGCCACATACGCAAGGGCATCGCGGACGACGCTTTCAACTTGCTCGTGTACAACAACGTCACGACTGTCGATATCATAATTAAGGAATGCCGCCGCTTCGAAATGGCCAAAAACCGCTGCGTTCGGCCTCATTTTTCACGCCTCCCTAACACGGCTGTCACGTCAACCTGTACCGATCTCAGGGCCGCACCACCCTTGCACGAGAATGTCACACGCATTGTTCGGCGCGAGCTTGAGGCGGCCCGTCCGGCGCTGTTTCATGCACTTCCATTCGGCCAGGGCACCGTGCAAACTCCTCCGGTGGTGTCAGTTATTAAGGCAGTCGTGCGGAAAGAAATTGCTAACCTTGGTTTTCCTGCCGCCTGCTCCGTCTCCCGACCGGACTACATACCGATGCCAATAAATGCACCACGCCACGATTCATACTCTCTGCCCAGATCCCGCAATGCGACGGAATGGAGAACAGCAGACGACAAGCAAATCTGCTTCCGCTGTCACCCAGTTGGCCATGTCTCCCGCTACTGCCGCAGCACTTGGACGCCCCACACCCCCCACCCGTTGGTGCCAATTGCCTTCTTATCCTCGGCCATACGCGGACCGCCGTCGGTATTCGCCCAGCCGTGACTATCCTGCTTCCGACGCAAACCAATGGACTCACGAGGCGTCTAAATCGAACTTTTACAGGCACGCTCGCTGAGTATGTTTCTACCAACCACACCAACTGGGATCTCGCATTGCTGTACGTCACATTTGCCTATAATTCTTCTTGCCATGACACTGCCGCTTACACTCCATTTTTACTGTTGTTCGGCCGAGAACCTACATTACCCCTAGATACAGTTATTCTGTCTATCGCAACACCAACCAGCGAATATGCCCCTAACACTGTCACTCGGGCTGCTCACGCACGCTCAATCACCCGCACTCGCTTTCTGGCCTCTCAAGAAAACCAGCGGCGTTTGTACGATCAACGGCACCGCGAGGTGCACTTTTTACCCGGTTCATTGGTGCTGCTGTGGTCCCCAACCCGAAAAGTCGGCTTGTCGGAAAAACTTCTTTCCCGCTGCACAGGTCTATATCGAGTCCTTCGTGAGGTTACTCCTATGACATACGAGATTGCCCCTGCTGCCTCATCACCTTCAACTGCCCCACAGACCACCGATATTGTACATGTGGCATGCTTGAAGCCTTACCACTCTCCCGCTGACGTTTACATCTAGATGCACCAAGACAGCGCTTTTGCCGCCGGGGATTATGCGACATGCTTGTTGACATTTTGTGGGCCGATGCGCGTGTGTGCCTGATGAAGAGGACGAAGAGTGGTCTCCACTCGGTGTCTGGTCTACCGGTCACGCCGCTGCTGCTAGTTTGAAATATATTTCATCCACAGCCTCGTCGATACGGCGTCTCTCTTCCGTAACAATATCATCGCGCACAGCTACATCCAGCGTCATGCTCCGCCGTGGTGGTCTAGTGGCTAAGGTACTCGGCTGCTGACCCAAGGTCGCGCGTTCGAATCCCGGCTGCGGCGGCTGCATTTCCCATGGAGGCGGAAATGTTGTAGGCCCGTGTGCTCAGATTCGGGTGCACGATAAAGAACCCCGGGTGGACGAAATTTCCGGAGCCCTCCACTACGGCGTCTCTCATATTAATATGGTGATTTTGGGACGTTAAACCCCACATATCAATCAAATAAATCAACATCCAGCGTCATATCAAATAATGTAGCTGCCACGATATCGGCTGTGACGTAGTCTCCCGTGATGCGCAGGTCATGCTTTTATCAAGTCTAGGTGGTGTTGGCTGGTAATTTTCATACGCTCTTTACATTATTTTTCCTTACAGTAGTGATATCGCGGACAACGGCCGTTTTTGCCTAGTTTTGTTCTAGGTTCCAGTGCCTAAACATGTCACAAGTGTATATGCATAAGTGGGAAAAAGTGGTTCAATTATCACTGAAAGGCTACTCGCAGCGCAACATTGTTACCTTGACAAGCTGTAATCTGAGCCCAGTCAACACGATAGTCCAAGCGTATCGAGATGAAGGATGAATTAAGGAGGCGCCACACATAGGCGACCCCGTGCCACATCGTTGGACCAAGATCTGCAAGTTGCTGTAGTCAGCGAGAAGCCATTTTTGAGTGCGAAATATGTGTGCCGTACTCTAGACCTTGCGAATGTAAATGACAGCATAATACTAAGGGAAGCCGCACTCCGAAGCCGCATCTCCGCTCAAAAGCCCCTTCTCGCATGTGCCAACAAAACGGACGGTAGAGGACTGGAAATATGGCATCTTCTTCGACGAATCAACTTTCTTCAGCCGCTGGGACCAGCAGACAAGAGTGTGACGCACGGAGAACACGCGTTTCTGTCCGCAGAACATCAAGGAGGTAGCCGCAAGTGGTCGCACATCAGTAAACGTTTGGGCAGCTATCTCGCGCGACGGCCTAGCTCCCCTTGTCGGAACCTCCGGGAGATTCACAAGTGATGCATATTGCACGCTGCTGGAGCGTGCGTATATGTATTCTATATGTATTTAATGACCCCCACCCGGATGGATGCTATTTATTCCAACAGGACATGTCTCCCGTGCATACAGCAAAGGACGTCGCACGTATTTTATATGAGTGAGGGGTAATGCGCCTTGAGTGATGCGCGAAAAGTGTGGGCATGAACATTATTAAACACGTGTGGGCACGTATGAATGCTAAATTTTCTAGGCTTTCTTTGGACTTGGTGACAGCTGATGAACTGTGGGAAGCTCTACAAGAAGAGTGGAAACATATGAAAGCTAACACAGGCTTCATCAAGGCCCTCTACAGGATTCTTCCAGAAAGAATGGAAGCCGTGATTCAAGCTGGTGGAGCCATAACCCGTTTTTAGCCCAGTAAACACGTATCAAAAGGCAAGCTAGCTGATAAATTGTGTGCATAAAAATATTGTAACAATTTTGGAAGCATCCAATAAATATTTTCAATTAACTACAGCGTGCGACTTTTTTCGGACCACTAGACCAACAAACTGCACAATAGTCATAAACAACAATACTGTTTTTTTTTCTACGCTAGCACTACAATATCAAGGTGGCATCTTTGCGAGACGTTCTCCGCTAGCAAGTAAAGGGATACAGGTGTGTTTGGCAACGAACCCTAGGCAAGAGATTACGACATTCTGCATGCTTTAATCTCTTATCATTGCTAGCGGCCGATGGCACGTAATAAGCTGCCATTTCGAAGGAACACCAGAGAAGGGGGAGTGAAAACAGCTAATGGAAGAGCACCCCTAATTTTCCCGCCGGTTTCGGCAGCGCCATACACGTACGATGCTATCTCAGTTTTGAAGATATTCGCCACGCGCTCGAGCGTTCGAGCTCATATTGCTCATGATAGTACATGATTGCAGAACTGACCACTTCTACCTCATAACTGTTGTAGTTTCATTAAACAGTACTTCTTGTGCTCAATCTGATCGTTTCAATGATCCTGGGATATCTCCAACTGCTAACATGTCTCTTTTTTCTTGCTTCCAGATCAGTAGCAAGCCAGCTGATCAAGGGTCAATCAGTTCGTGCTGAATCATACGACATCGTCACTATTTATTTCAGTGACATCGTAGGATTTACATCACTCTCTGCCCAAAGCACTCCTATGCAGGTAACTAAGTGCATTAGTTTTTAACCTCGAGTGCCCGGATTTGAAACTTCGTGAAGCTTTATTCATTCCAACGTTCCAACACTTGCGATGCTGATAGGGCAACGCAGGGGCTACATTTAAATGTGGTTGAAATATATGATTACCCATGCATGGGGTTCCATCACTGCCGCGGTGGTCGCATCTCGATTGAGGCAAAATGATAGAGACCCATGTTGTGTGCGATGTCACAACAGTACATGTTCCGAAATTCCGGAGCCCTCCACTACAGCTTCTCTCAAAATCATATCGTGGTTTTGGGACCTACAGCCTCAGATATTATTTGTTATTACAACTAATTATGTTAATAGTATTATTATTATTAATATTATTGTCGTTGTTTTTATTAGTATTATATGATTTCGACGTGCGTTAGCAGCAGTGGTGATCAAAATTTATTTTAGTGCTATACCAAGACGTTTCTCATAATTTTGAGGACGTTCTCACAGGTAAAACCTAGAATTTATTTTATTGTATGTGCGACGTGCCCACACAAAGCTTTCTTAATAAAGTAACGGTAAACTATGACCTTACTGCATATCCGCTCCGTCGAAATTTTTTGGAATGCAGAGAATGCCAGAATGCACAATTTACCTAACAAGTCAAGTTACCTCACAATTTGTGAGTTTTCAATGCGACGCATTTCTTTGCGTAGTGCAAGCATTTCCGGCATCTATCTATCTATCTATCTATCTATCTATCTATCTATCTATCTATCTATCTATCTATCTATCTATCTATCTATCTATCTATCTATCTATCTATCTATCTGTCTGTCTGTCTGTCTGTCTGTCTGTCTGTCTGTCTGTCTGTCTGTCTGTCTGTCTGTCTATCTATCTATCTATCTATCTATCTATCTATCTATCTATCTATCTATCTATCTATCTATCTATCTATCTATCTATCTATCTATCTATCTATCTATCTATATCTATCTATCTATCTATCTATCTATCTATCTATCTATCTATCTATCTATCTATCTATCTGTCTGTCTGTCTGTCTGTCTGTCTGTCTGTCTGTCTGTCTCTTTGTCTATCTATCTATCTATCTATCTATCTATCTATCTATCTATCTATCTATCTATCTATCTATCTATCTATCTATCTATCTGCTGTCTGTCTGTCTGTCTGTCAGACAATGTATGTATGTATGTATGTATGTGAGTATGTATGTATGTATGTATGTATGTATGTATGTATTATGTATGTATGTATGTATGTATGTATGTATGTATGTATGTATGTATGTATGTATGTATGTATGTATGTATGTATGTATGTATGTATGTATGTGTCTCCGCTTACGTGTGGGTGCTCTTAACTTGGCGTGAACCAAAATTAGTATGACAGAGTAAGATGATTTGACCAATATGACACGCTGGTCAGGACACGGATGAACGAAAGCGCGGACGGACTGACGGACGCTTCGCCCCGCTCATCATCATTCACTTTGTAGACACGCCGTGATTTTTTTTTTTTGAAATCTGACAAGTTTAAAGTAATACTTGTAATGGCTAATCAATTCATTTTCAACCCTTACCCTCAAGAAGTGAATTAGTGTAATGAGCAAAACACCATCGGATTCATGGCCCATCCCCCAGACAGAGTTGCGCCAAGATGTTGAGAAACGAGCATTGTTTCTTTTTTCTCTTCAAATGCGTGACATGTGTGGACAAATCGTGGCCTCCCATGGCGACCCCAGCAATGGCCCAACGCGACTTGCTCAAATCAGCAAATAGTTAATACTTGGCTTGCAGAGCAGTGGTTTCTTGTGTCTGAAGCGTCATATATATCTCAAAATAAAGAAGAGAAAGCGATTTTGACTGTTCTTAAAAGGATCCACCTACTATTCAAAAGCTACTGACGCAGTAATATATGACTATTCAAATTCCATTCCGTTCACTATTCACCACCTAAACGAATTTACGCGCTATGTAAATGTCATATTCAAACTGTTGCGTCACCACACCTTTAACATCTTTGCCTTTTCTTTTCGTTTACGTGTCTGTCTCCGCTTTACGGTATTCAAGAAAAGCAGTAGCGCTCTCAGCCGCGATCATTTCACATTATCGTGTCTTGTATATTATCCGCAATTATTTTAAAAGCCGCAACCTTTCTCTTTTGCACTTGTACTGTGTGTTGTGAGCTGATTATTATTGTATTTTCATGAGTGCGTTTTAAACGTTCTAATAACACTAATTCAAGGTTTAGTTTTCACAGGGCAATATACCTGCCACAAGCCGCTATTCATGAATGACTGCGATATGCCCTATTTCCTGAAGTGTGGATTCTGCGCGTTTAGGTCATAAAGAGACACTAGCATAAAGTTATCAATTAAATATTCGTGTTCAAGTAGGTTATGAATAACTGAGCTGACTGCTACCAACAAACAGAAATTCAGTTACCCGTAGATCAGAAAAAGTCGCAGCACTACACTTTCAAATTCATATTCATATTTATTTATTTCCAACATGTTTTTTTCTCAACAAGTTGGGGGTCCCTCGGGCAAAAAAGCGGTTGAAAAACTACTTGAGAAAACCTGAGGGCCCACACACACGGCAGCAGTTTGGGAATGCAAGCTTTTACATTTATAGCCGAAGAAATGAACTAAAATTGAGAAGAATTTCACTTTGTGAAAGTTAGTTTTGCTTCTGGAATTGACATCCTTTCATTATCTTTTGTCGCAGGTTAAGCGCTTTTTATGTGTAATAGTAATGATAAGGCCCATGCCGTGAGCGATAAATTTTGATGACCACACCAGACTCAATAGGCTTGCCGGCCAAACTCTTCGGGAGAAGGGGGTGGACTCGATTAGGCAACTTATTCCTTAACTGGGAGTCGAGCACTCTTATTGGTCATTAGTGAGACAACCATATTTTTATTCGTGAGAAAAATTCAGCACTTCACAAAAGTTGTCCTCATGACTTATTAATTATGTGCCCATGTATATTATGCTTAGTAAGTGATTGCCCGTTTTGCATCTCATTTTTTTTAGGTGGTGGACTTGCTCAACGACCTTTACACCTGTTTCGATTCTGTGATTGAAAACTTCGACGTTTACAAGGTAACAATCTATAAATTTCATGTGCATTAAAGCTGCTCATTCATGAAAGAACGGAGTGAAAAAAGAAAAATTCTGGAAAGGAAGTAACAGGGAGCAGAAAGGTTGTCCCGACGTTTTTCTCGAATTTTGAAGCTTGCTGTCTTAAATACCCCTTTTATGTTAACCGACTCGCAAAACAACAAGTCTTACTCTTCAATCAATATTTCAGTAGGTAACTTCAGAGAATTTCTAAAGGCCTTAGATGCATCTACAAGCGCGAAAATTGACAGTCGGCGATGGCGTCCCGCGGTGTCAAGGACAACAGGAGGGATGCTAAGAATTGTCGTCCTCCTTAGGCATCAGGAGGACGCAGATCTGGAAAACTTGTGGCGTCATTATGACATGATCGTATGACGCTCCATTCCATAACGTCCCATGATGACGTCATCTCGTGAGATCGTAGCTTGGTAATAGGTGGGTCAACTACAGATGCAGTGAATCCTAGAAGGAATAGAAATACAGCAGGCAGGGCTGCGTGTGGTAGGCTTCCCTTCATTGGCGAAAAGGAAAAAGTCACCGTTGCCGTCGACGTAACAGCAGTTTTAGATGCGGAAGCATCTTATACTCGCGCCTTGTAGTGCGCCGTCCGCGCCGTCCGCGCCGTCCGCACCGCTTCTCGAACATTCGACAGCTGACGCGCGCGCATGCGCTGTCGCGCCGTCGCCCACTCTTCCACCATCTGTGCATCCCTTCCTCCTCTACACACCGCGCGTGCTTCACTCCTCCACCATCTGTGCACCCTTCCTCCTCTACACACCGCGTTCGACATCTACAATTCTCCTGATTCTCCAGTGGACGCGCATGTGGCGTCGCGCTTCGAGAACATTCAACAGCTGACAGTGCATGCGCCGTCGAGCTGTATATATACTCAAGGTCGGCGCTCGCTCGCTCAGTTGCCGCTCGTCGGTTGGTTTGTACGGCGCGTCGACGTCCAAGGTCGCGGTGAAATGAATTCCAACGAATCCACAAACACAATGATCGACGTCCCTTCGACCAGCGCCGCCCTTTCGCATACGTGTGTACGTGTTCACTCATTTAACACCCCCTCCTACAACCACGTTAACCAATTTAGCCATCGACCCAAGTAAGTCGCAATTTAACACCCCATTTCACAACCACGTTAACCAATTTAGCCATCGACCCAAGTAAGTCGCACTTTAACACCCCGTTAACCAATTATATGCTCCGCATCCTCCTCAGTGTTCCCCCGAGGGAAGCTGCGAGCAATTTTTTTCACACATGACTCCGCACGCTGTGAATCGGTTCGGGGAATTACAGTCGAGCAGCACATTTGGTGTTTAACAGAACTCGTATGCAAGCTGTGTGCGTGGTCCTATACACTAAATCTTGTCAACGATGAAGCCACGGTAGTAACGCTATTCTTCTCAAGCAAGACTTCTCAAAGCTTGCGTGAGTGGTGGTGTCGAGCAGTTGCAACAATCTTCGAGCTGCGTCTCGCTCAGCAGCACATGAATGGCACTTACTGGAATACTAACCATGATGGCCATTTTGTATCTTCGTCCATCAACTTACAAGGCACAAAGGAGCTGTCCCTTTCAGTTGAAGCCTGATATCTCCCATAACATGCATGTAGCTCAGGGCGATTATTCCACTCGTCAGCTACATTGCAGGTACAGAAGCGCCTTGTCTTTAGAAATGGCTGCATTTGGGCAGAGAAGCAGTGGTGGTTTTGTTTGGTTCACGGCAGTTCAAAACCGCTTCAAGTTGCACTCACACTACAGTTGAAATCACGATTCGAGCCCGCGGAATGAGTACAACGTAACCATACGTTAGCCATTTCCGCATCCCCGCTTCGGTTCTCGAAGAGTGATTCATGAAATGACAGAGGCCCAAATCACACTTGGGATCATCGGGGCACAATGCCAAAATCCTCGCTTGCAGCGTGAATTTTTAAATGCTAAACATTTCTTAGCGAACTTCGGCGACTTTGAGCATTTCTATCTATCTATCTATCTATCTATCTATCTATCTATCTATCTATCTATCTATCTATCTATCTATCTATCTATCTATCTATCTATCTATCTATCTATCTATCTATCTATCTATCTATCTATCTATCTATCTATCTATCTATCTATCTATCTATCTATCTATCTATCCACCTACCACTTTTAGCTCTCCGGGCCGTTTGGATAATGGTATAATACCAAACTTGGCATGGGATAATATGACTGTATGAAGAACGTATTTGACCAGTCATAACATGAAAATCATGACACGCGTGTCATGTAACAACATTACTGCATGCCACGCTCATGATGCGCTCGCGGCCGTTCCACTATCGTCCCATATACCAAATTTAGTATTACATTACGTTAATAGATTACAAAGGTATGTGACTGGTACGAACATGATAATTATGAGATGCGTGTCATGTAGCAACATGACTACATGCCACGCTCATGGTGCGCTCGCGGCCGTTTCGCTAGCCTAACATGTGCCGAACTCGGTATTACGTGACGCGAAAAGATGACATAAGTAAATGACATATCCAAACACGATAATGACGACATGTGTGCCATGTAACAACATGAATACATGCCACACTCATGATATGCTCGCGGCCGTTTCCTTAGCTTCACATACTAAATTTGGTATTACGGTACGTCAATGGATGACGAGGGTATGTGACTGGTGCAAACATGATAATCGTGAAATGCGTGTCATGTGCGAACATGACTACACGCCACAGTCAAGACACCAATACATTTCGACGTGACGTGGTGCGCGTGGTCGCCGGCGTTCATTTCGTCGCATCACGCCGGCATTGCCATGCTTGGCGCCGTTCCTGCCATATACTCGCAGGCGCGCGCCACGCTGCGTTGCTTTGACGTATAGTCGTTTCAGCGCGTCGCCATCCCTCCTTCACGAAAAGAGAGAAACGCAATGTTGTCTGGGTAACGCATCGGCATGAAATGCAGCATGTCGCATTTCGCGCCGGTTGTTTGCCGCGCCGACGGACGCTGGTCGTGCCGGTCGCGCCTGGCGCGATACTATAGAATTCTCGCGTTTCGCTAACGTAGCGTCGCTGTGCCCAGTGTGCGCGCGCGTCAACGCTACCTTGGAGTATATTGGGCCCTTCATAATGCACTCGCGGTCGTTTTGCTAGCTCCACATGTACCAACTTTGGTGTTGTGTTACGTCAATGGATGGCGAAAGTACATGGCTGGTGCGAACATGATAATCCTGACACACGTGTCACGTAAGAACATGACAACCTGCCGCGCTCATAGCGTGCTGGCAGCCGTTTCACTAGCGCTACAAATACTAAATTTCGTACCACGTGACTGACGTGAATAGATGACGAAGGTAAATGACACATCCAAACATGATAATATTTATACGGAAGTCATGTACGACATCATTTACCTCCACCTCGTAACGTTCTGCTGACTTTGAAGTAGCATATAAACCTTCCTCATCCGTGCTTCGCTCATCAGCGATTCCCACTGTACGTTGTATCTGCCAATTTATTTCCTGTCATGTGAATGCTGGCTGTGAAGAGATCATAATCGTGTTGCATGTCACGTGACTGATTCGTCCGCGATCACGTTCGTCGTATATTTAGGTGCAGAAAGCTTCCGGTGGTTGGTCTGGTAGTTGTGACAATGCGTCTACTAGGAAAAAAAAAAAAGATAATTTTTGCCTTACATGGACTTGTCTTAGTTGAATTATAATGAATCATCCGAGTTTTTTTTTATTGCGTTGGCAATTATATGGAAACTCTCGGCTGGATTTTGCCGTCGGCGTCATTCACCGTATATGTGCACTATATATATGAAAACCCAAGAAAGAAAAGAAAAAACTTGGCCCCGTATCGGCATGTTTCACTGCAAATGTCGTCGAAAAACGATAGTCTTGCACCTGGAGAGTCTGAACAAAACGTTTATTTGATGTTTTGCCCGAAAAAATAGGTGAATAGGATTCTGGAGGGAGCGCCTCGATGCGCGCAGGGGAGGCGTACAAGTGCATCGAGGCACTCTAGCGTGTAAGACATGAGCGCCATTTGGCAGTTACCTTGGAAAACGAAAAGATGGCTTCTGATATGGTAAGCGCACGGTATGCACGCCTGTCTCGGAGGTCATATAGTGTAGAATGCAACGCCACGGGGAAGCGCCACGTGCACCTTGTAGTGTTAGCAAAGCGTATAATAACGCTTCCCTTTCCGTGCATAGCGTTGCATTCTCAGCGTAGTGTGATAAACGCTATGGTCCTAAGACTTACTTACGTATGCCTCCTCGAGTGGGAAAAAAAAATTGCCCGCAGCTTCCCTCGGGGGAACACTGAGGAGGATGCGGAGCATATAATTGGTTAACGGGGTGTTAAAGTGCGACTTACTTGGGTCGATGGCTAAATTGGTTAACGTGGTTGTGAAATGGGGTGTTAAATTGCGACTTACTTGGGTCGATGGCTAAATTGGTTAACGTGGTTGTAGGAGGGGGTGTTAAATGAGTGAACACGTACACACGTATGCGAAAGGGCGGCGCTGGTCGAAGGGACGTCGATCATTGTGTTTGTGGATTCGTTGGAATTCATTTCACCGCGACCTTGGACGTCGACGCGCCGTACAAACCAACCGACGAGCGGCAACTGAGCGAGCGAGCACCAACCTTGAGTATATATACAGCTCGACGGCGCATGCACTGTCAGCTGTTGAATGTTCTCGAAGCGCGACGCCACATGCGCGTCCACTGGAGAATCAGGAGAATTGTAGATGTCGAACGCGGTGTGTAGAGGAGGAAGGGTGCACAGATGGTGGAGGAGTGAAGCACGCGCGGTGTGTAGAGGAGGAAGGGATGCACAGATGGTGGAAGAGTGGGCGACGGCGCGACGGCGCATGCGCGCGCGTCAGCTGTCGAATGTTTGAGAAGCGGTGCGGACGGCGCGGACGGCGCGGACGGCGCACTACAAGGCGCGAGTATAAGATGCTTCCGCAT